TAAAAAGGCTCCATATACAACTAAGGAGAAGAACCATCTAAGTATCAATGAAGTCTTAAGTTACCATCACATCGTCTTCTCTCCTATGTGAAGCACCGTACTGTATGCAAGCATCAATTTGATTCAAAATTGAGTCATTCCCAAGTGTTTACAGAAATACTGATTAACTCAGAAAACCCTTTCTTCCTTCTAAGATATTTTAACTCACAGATGTGACATATTCGGTTATCTACAAAATAGAGCCACATGTGTTGGCAACATTACCATCTCCCCACAGAAGCATGCTCAGACTGGAGTGGCATGAGAGAATTCTAAAAACGTTTTGACAACATCTTATCTAGTCTGGTGCAGATACAACAGGAAAAGCAAGAAGAAAAAAATGTTTCCTCTCCACAAAACCAAAGTATTTGGTTTTTATCTGGTTCTTCCAGACTATATCCAACAACCCTTTCCTAAAAAGGAAGTCTGAAAGTATTAATTTAAGTTGTATCTCCATAAGACACTTCCCAATATTTTTGCTGTTATCTTTATTTTCACTTTAGCTTCACTTTATTCATTTTGGCTTCACTTCCTCACTATAACATACTGTACACATCACTGAGCACATTCGCTGATTGGTTTTTTTCAGGTGAAACAGTGAGTGATTGGGGCACATTATATATTCTTTTGTTTGTGCATGCTAGAAAATCCTCAAAAACATAATCAAGGTTTCTTAAGAGTGTGTGTGTATACACACACACGTGCACGCGCGTATAAAACACAATAGACATTACTGACAACCTCTCAACAGCAAGAAAACAAAACCTAAAATTTTATTGCTGGTTTGCTATTTCTGAAAAAGGGAGTATTTTTATACTGTCAATTCTTCTACCAACAATTTTGTTTTGCATTAGCTTTTATCAACATGTTCTGTTAACATTGCAGACTGAATCTACAATGTCTTGAGTAATGTAAAAAAAATTGAAAAGTAATCACGTTAACTGTAGTCTATTTGTAGACCAGCAGAGAGCAAGAGTGGTTATAACCACTGCAATCACCTTTTCAATAACTTCCCTGAAAACCAAACAGTACATGCTGGGTTGTCAGACAGTAAACTGCCAAACTCCCTCCTTGTTACCTGGGGAGTGGAAAGTAGATCCAGTGCTCTATATTCAACTCAACAGAATGCTAGACTGTATGCAATTTACTTGCAACTGTGAAATACATACATCCACTGAACAAAACCAAACTGCTATATTTAAGGTAAAAATTTACTTGAGGAAGAAAGTTATGTGGCTGCTCTCTCCTCTCCAGAAATGGCGGCTTTTAGCTGCTAACTTGAGTTTATGCCCATAAACACACAGACGATCAACAGATCACAGTAACAGAAAAACTACTAATTGATGTCCTGATGTTAACCAATTACCAGCCAAAGAATACAATCCTGACTTTCCCCATTCATCGGGAAGCAGTCTTGTCAAAACAAAAATTTGTTTATTAAGCTATTCCTCCTGGCTAGTTCCTGCAATTAGCTATAAAAATGTGACTTCTGGAATAACGGATAATACAGAAGGAAAACTACCACCCAACAAACTTAGTTTGATCATCAGTCAAATCCTGCATTTAATAATCCTCAGATATGACTCCCATACCACCATCTCTAGCAACAGCAATAAAGACATTTTTCCAACAATCATTTTAAAATTGAATTTCGTAGAACGAAGTTACCATTGAGAATACTTCTAGCCAATTTAGAAACTTCAATATTCATGTGCCAATTACAGAACACTGGGATGAAGATGCAGACACTGAGCTTATAATCCTTAAGAAGAAACAGAAGTGGTCTCAAGAACTAAACATTAACAAACTTTACTTTGGTAAAACTAGTTGAAGTTTGTCCTGGTTTCATCTGGGATACAGTTAATTTTCTTCCTAGTAGCTGGTACAGTGCTGTGTTTTGGATTCAGGGTGAGAATAACATCGATAACACACGGATGTTTTAGTTGTTGCTAAACTGTGCTTACACTAGTCAAGGACTTTCCAGCTTCCCATGCTCTACCGACTGAGAAGGCTGGAGGGGCACAAGAAGCTGGGAGGGGGCACAGCCAGGACAGCTGACCCAAACTGCCCACAGGGACATTCCATACCATGTGACATCATGCTCAGTATATAAACTGGAGAAAGCTGGCTCGGGGGGGCTGCTGCTCAGGGACTGGCTGGGCATCAGTCAGTGGGTGGTGAGCAATTGCATTGTGCATCACTTGCTTTGTATATTCTTTTATTATTCTTGTTATTATTATTACTAATTTATTTCAACTATTAAACTGTTCTTATCTCAACCCACGAGTTTTCTCACTTCTACTCTTCTGATTCTCTCCCCCATCCCACCGGGGGCGGGGGGACAGGGAGAGTGAGCAAGCAGCTGTGTGGTGGCTCAGTTGCCAGCTGAGGTTAAACCACGACGAAGTTGCAAGTAAAAATAATATTATGAAACAGAAATTATTATTAAAAAAACCTAACAAAAAAAACCCCAACAAAAAAACCCAGTAGCATCCTGAAAATAGAGTAATGCATTTAAACTTCAGTATTCTTCAAGCCTACCAATAAAATATTGGGTTAAGAGCCTATTAATAAAATATTGGAAAAAGAGAGCTGGTCAGCAGATTAGCTGGACTTCCTGAAAGACGTTCAACTTCTTCACAAAACATCATTGACAGAAAAAGAAAATAATGCTAAACAACAGAAGTTAGCTAAGCAAAATACAAAGTGGCAACAATGCTTCAGCACTGTGAATGATAGCCAGTGTGTAAGTCATCTGCAAAACAGGTAAGCAATGATCATTGCAAAATATTTAGAACCACAGAGTAAAGTTAGTGGATAGCAGAAGAAAGTTACAGTGAAACTTTACAAACACCATGAAGGAAGCAGATCCATGCATTACTGATGTTCAGTATGCAGCTGTGGTGGGCAAAAAAAAAAAAGCCAACATTCAGATGGTTTAGTCTGCTTCAGCAGCAGAAGAGACCCTTTTCAGTGCAGTTTTTGCCCCAGGCAAAGAAAAGCTGGCTGGCTCCTCTCACATGCTGTCTATTGTTCATATGGGTGAATATTTTTCAGCCATGTAGCTCTATGTGGAAAAATCCTTCTGCAGTTACCGGCGGAGGGCGGGGAGAATATCCTAAAAATGAGGTCAAATCTGATTCCCATAACTTCTCTCTACCCACAGTCTGACAGTATGATACTAAAACTCTTTTGCTTAAAACAATTACGGAAACACTGATCATGACTCAACTTGCATTGCAGAGAAAAAGAAAACATTTTACTGATGAAAAAAAATGCTGTAAATTAATAGATAATCTAGTGATATGGTGACAGATGGGGCTGAATTCCTTACTGACTTTGAAAGAAACTCCACAAAGTAGGAGGAGTCTGAAGTCAAAGAGGAACGCTGCAACAGGCCACAATCCTGAAGCGCAAAAAAATCTGGCTATAAGATGGCAACTCTGAAAACTGCCACAGCAGCTGACTCGAGAGGGAAGTTACAGCCAAAGAATTTTTTGGGCCTCCTAGCAACATTCTTTGCTGTCATCGGACACCACAGTTGATGTTGCTAGAAGTTGGTGTCTGTGCCTGAACAAGTAGGGGCAAGAAGAAAGGGTGTGAAAATCCTTTTCCTGATTAGTCATGATGTGCCTGATGCACAATCATCAGGATGGAAAGAAACAGCATGATGAGTACCATAGAAAATACAGTTAATTTGACAATAGCGATAATATCATACGTGACTGCCTTTTAACAGGTAGTTCTTTTAATACTTCTGCTAGTATTTTCCTGTATCAGCATGAAATGCCACATATATATATACACACACAAGACGACAGTCATGTAATTCATAAATTGCATGCTATTTCTACAGAGAATTTTTATTATACTCAATAGAATTATCAGGACTTGAGACAGAATTCATATCCTCTTTATTGAAAAAAAATCAATATAGCATACTCTTCAAACTTTGTTTTCTCACCTATTTTATGAAACTAACTTTTGAATGAAACTAAGAGTTTAAGAGTTTTAAATTTAAGTAGTGGTCTACTTTTAAAGAGAGTAACTTCAGTTAAGATCAGAATATTAATTAGACCAGTTTCTGCCACTCATTTTTATTAATAAGGTAATTACAACAACCACACTTGTTACCATGAAATAAGTTTTTCTAAATCTCTCCATTGCATTCAGAATACTTGGAATTGTGCTGATACAATGTTGGTAGAGATACTTTATGACACTTAATGTATTAATATTATTGGCATAATTTAATTAAGACTTAAATCCCCTGCACTTTTGCTGCATATTCGTTTGGTGGTTATTGAAGCTTTTCTATTACAACAACTACTGACATATTTAGTTATAACAATATAGATGTAGAGAAAAAAGTTAAGTTATCCAAAAATATTCTTCTTGTAACACTTCTGAGAAAAAATGTTTCCTAAAACACATAATCAAAAAAATTTAGTCTGCTCTTTTCTTATAACACTTTAATCTTTATTTAAGATTTGTCTATGTCCAAAAAATTTTAAGTCCTAGCTACATGTTTGAGTAAATGTAATGTTAATTAATTATGATAAGGTCAAGAATATTGACATCTACTGTAATTCTCTCCAAACATCATCCTGGACCAGGCCCTTCTGCTGCTTTATAAAAGCAGGAAAGTATTCTTCTCAACTGATTGTGTCTGCCAAGTAAGAACTCAGCACACGCATCAGTAGCTGTATATAAGATAGTCTCCATTTCCATAGGGATTCAGGTCTAAATTCAATGAGTTTAAACTATATTTTTAAAAACAAAAATTTAGCAGTGAAGATTTTCCTCTTCTATTTTTGGTAATGAAGTAGCATGAAAGATTTTCTTAAGTATAAAAAAATGGTCTTGCTATATAAGCTGCTAACTTTATTTTTAGAGGCTCAGTAGTTAAAATTAATGGAAGCCTTTGTTTATTTGTCATTTATCTGCTTTTAAATACTTACAGTGAAAAATACGGAAATCAATGTATGGATGAGAACCTCTTCTCTCTGTTTCAAATCCTGCCCGACTTCTTACTCGTACATCTCCTAGAAACAGGGTCAAGAGTGAAATAAAAGTGTGGAAGAGTGGCAGAGATAAAATGCAAATGAACATAGCCTGGAGGGGTAAAGATTCATGTACTTAATGGAGGAGGGTTATTCAAACAATAGGCCTACTTCAATGCTTTTTTTTTAAAGGTGAAATTCAAAACAAAGTTTGAAGACTTGTTAAACATGCAATTGCATGCTTTCTTGTCAAAATCTCTCCTGCCTAAGCATACGTTGCCAGAAGCATGTGATAAGCATTCAGATGAAATTAGGAACAGCTTGCTACACCAGTATGGCAAAAGTGCACCTTAATATGACAGGAAACAAGAACATTAAAAATTGATTTGTTCCTCAGTAACACACATAAAACAATAACATTTTGTATAATACAAAAAAGATTCAGCTTCTAGAAATGGTAGCTTTTAGCAAATAAGCTCGTTACAACATGGTTTTATATTACATAATAGAATAATTTCCCACTAGCATTTACTTACTTGTGCTCAGCTGTTTGAATATTACACAAGAGCCTATTAAAATACCAAAACTCAGTATTAAAATTTTATCAGACTGTTTTGCACTGCAATTAGCTTCAACCTGAATCTTTTAGCATGCTAGTTGATTTCTACTTATGTATTTTACCAACTGAAAGCTGATCAGTATTCTTCCGTTAGGTATTTGTATGCATTAATGGAAGTAGTTCACCTGGATTAAAAGCTTTCACTTAAAATCCTTTAGCAATTACAAATTTGGGCAAACCTTTGAGGATCAAATGCAATAGTGTTTCCCTCCTCAAAAACTTAACAAAAAAGTGAAATCTAAGATGTGAAAATGTTCTGGTTTCTAATTATGAAAATCCTTCTAGTGTCATATTCTCCTCTCCTCAAACACAGTGATTTTCACATGAATCAAAACTAAGTATTTAACACAAGGAACTAAGACTGATTTTATAAGAACAAAATAAAAATATAGCTATTTAATTTCCAGCAACTGATAACATCTTGAGAGTGTTTTTTCCTTTTCTTCTCCAACCTGCTAATTTGTAATGCTGAAGCAGGCACAACTTGTCAGAAAATAGCTAAAGCTACTGACTAAAACTTCAGTAATATACTTCTAATACTGAACAGGTATCTTTCTAGAGATACATATCTATAAACACTGACCCATCTATAGCGACACACTTCACATGAATGTTACCTCGTGAGGCATGCTGGAAGGACCACAAAAAGATAAGTAGGCCCAGGGCTCCCCAAATGAGTCTAAAGTTTACGTATCAGTAAAAACATACCAAATACATGTGGTTTTCAGTTATTACTCCTTTTGTTTTTTTGAAACTGAAAACCTTAACAGAGCTGCAAGGGAAAGTAACCCAATTACTTCCTGTAAATATTATTTTTCAGACCACTGACAATATATTACTTATAAAGGTTTCAAGCATTCATCTGAGCAGAGTGCAAGAGGCTTGTCTTGTTCCAGGCAATACAGAGGCAGCAGATTGTAGAACTATTCTGTTAGGCACAAGCAACTGGTGAACTTTATTTACAAAATAAATTAATAAAAAGGAAAAAGGGAGGAAATTTTGGAAGAGAGGAAGCGAATGCATTAGTAGCTGTGTATGAAAATATCAGTTTACACAGAGGAAAATGCAACTTTTATTACCTTTCACTCATATTTATCTGGGAAATCAGTCATAGCTACAGCTGTGTGAATGAGTTCACCAGCTGAATTAAAAGAAAAATAAAAGAGGTTTTTTTAGTTGAGCTAACTTTTTACAGAAAAGGTGATACAACTTTTGTGAATTATATTTAGTTTTCAAGGCAGTCATAACTTTCAGAATTTACCAACCATAATGTGAATTAGCAAATAGTTTCAGTCAGCGTACTACTAGGTTTTGGTGAACAATAGTACTTGTTCAAAGCGTCAAGAATTAAGAAAAGTTCACAGAAAAATACCTCAAGACTAACATGGAATTCTGCAAATAACAAAATAAGCAGATATCCAGAAAACTTCTCTCTGCTTTGTTCTTTTTTATTTACTAGTACCTAGTCTAACAGCATAGATAGAATATCCCTGTAACCCTTGAAATGCCCACAATGTTGTGGATTTTGAGTAGGAAAACAAGAAAAATTGTCTACAAGTGAAATGCAGAAGTGCAACTAACTATACTGCTTTTAAAAGGAATTATTAAAACGTCTATTTACAGGAACAGTTAGCCAAGAGAAGAAATGATATACTAAAAATGCACATGGCAAACTATTAAAAAGGCAATTGCAATAAGATGAAGGTAAAATGAGGGTATTTACTTGCGTACATATGAAATGAGAAATTCCCAGTAAGGAAAGCAAAATATTTTCATTAAATAGTTGTTAAACAAAACTCTCTCTCCTTGATCATGGTAGAAGCAGAGGGTATTTTGTTAAGAATCAAGATCTCAACAATGGATGAATTTTTTTAGAATACATTTGACTACAGGACTGGAATTTATCACAGTAAACAAAGTAGAAATTCCTATTGGGCCAAAAAGGCAGAACAGCTGTCTCCATTATCATTGTACAGAACTACTTTTCAAGATTTCGGACAATAAATGTGCTTGGAAAAAATTGGTACAAGTGGAATTTGAAGACACCATACATCCATCTGAAGTTTCTATGTGTATAGAAGCATAAAAAGGAATAGCATTAAACTGGCTGCACATTAGCACATTATGAAATGATGTGCTATTAGCACAGTGAAATTAATCTCTACTGCATATGTACAGTTAGTCCCAAAACATCCAGAAATACTGGACCATCGTTATGCATCCACTGTCCAGTTAATCTGACCTGCAAAGATCAATAGATCCCAAATGCACTCACTTCATTGTGCTTGTACACAACATAACATACTCGCATTGATTTGCTTGGGAAATCCTGCACAAGTTTTTGTAACCCTATGACTCTGAAATGATACAGAATTTAATTTTAAGGAAGACACATGTTTATCATCACAGGTAACTTAAAAAAAGGCACAAGACATTTCAGATTTAAGATTACTTTTATCAGACAAAAAGACGCTGTTACATAATTCTTTCAAACAGCAACAGAAGTCCAACCTCAGAGCCAATCGTTATTATGGTAGCTGAAAGATAATTAAAATTCATCACCTAAAACAAAAGAACTTATGAATAGTTTTCATTTATTTAGGCCTTTTAAAAAAATATCAAAGTGGTTACAAAATCTTTTGAAACCATCGGATCGCACCATTTGCTTATAGGTAAATTCCCTTGGCGGG